ACGTCTACTCCGCCAAGGTGAGGTGCCAGGGGGGGAGGTGTGTGTGTGTGCCTGTGTGCATGGGTGTATCTGTGTGTGGGGGGCGAGGTGTGTGTTTGTGTGTGTGTGGGGTGGAGGTGTGTGTGCGTCTGTGGTGCGCGTGTGTGTCCGTGTGCGTGTGTGCGTGTGCGTGTGTGTGCGCGTGTGTGCCTGCGTGCATGCGTGTGTCCGTGTTTGAACCGTCCGATTCCAACCACGTCTCCTCCGCCAAAGTGAGGCGTGCGCGAATAATTGTCACAAAGGATAAGTCATCGGGTGCCAGACACGTTCAGCCGGTCATATCGCAACGAGGTGGAGACTGTGACGATGAGATGAGCTGCGAATCAGATAACTCACTGCTCTCGTCCTCGCCCCACCCGGCGTTTACAGGTGATGCTGCTGGCCGTGAGCTCGCTCGAAGAGCTGTACCACAAGTGCTGCGGCCTGGCGGAGGACGCGGCCGAAGTGCGCGAGGACTTTATTCATCCGACGCGCCTAATCAGCTTCCTCGTGGGGCTGCGCGGCCGCACGGAGGCCATGCCCATCGGTGAGCTAACGATTAACGATCGCGCGATTCACAGCTTCTAGCTTCCTCGTGGGGCTGCGCGGCCGCACGCAGGCCATGCCCATCGGTGAGTGGTAGACAAGACTAACGTCGAATGTCGAAGGAATGGCTACTGGATTCTGTCGGCAACACGCAGATAGCCGTGTGCACGCAATCGCATTTCGATCGCGCTACCATGTCGATTATTTTGTCGATGTGTGTGTTGATACAGAGTGAAACTGCACTCGGGTCGGAACCTTAAAACTTTTCAACGGCAGTCAAACTGTTAGCGGTCACCTTTGTGGAACAGACATATATCTATGAAGGAAATGCTTCTCATGATCATGAGTGGCAGTCACACAGTAAAACCATCTGTATAGAATGGACACCAATCTAAAGTCATTAGAAAGGACATAAGAAACTTGACATTCCCCTCTAGTGGTAGTCTCACGCCGATATATACAACCTCTATAGAATGGACACGCGTCCGTGAAGGATGCTCGTGGCGATTCCCTCTAGCGACCCTTGTACACAGGGATCGCCTCACACTGTTGCAGGTGGTGCGTGGTCGCCGGAGCTCGACGGACCAAACCCGGAAGCGAACCCACAGACTCTCATCAACACGGCCGTCAGGACCTGCCGATGTCTCACGGGGATCGACCTCAGTCTATGCTCACAGTGGTAGGTTGTAGAGCCGTAGGGGGCGCCTCCTACACGCTCGTTTCAGCCAGGTTGCGCGGGCGGGTGGGGGAAGGTGGGGTCGTGGTGGAAGGGGTGGGTGGGGTTGATGGTCAGGTCTGGGGCGAGGAGAATTACTGGCTGTGTTGTGCATCTGACGTGCGATCGTCGTGGCGGGGGTGAGCGTGCACGAAAAAAAACCACGCCAAACTGATGCGAGACGCCGTGCTCGATGCGCTTAACGACGCGCAAATTTTGCCTGCAGGGGACGCCTGTGGGTGGTGACGTCACCGTTAGCGTAGCCGCGTGCGCGCATGCGTGTTTTGGCTACTTTTTAAACTTGACACCACGTTTTTTTTATAATTGCGCATCCTTATTTGGCCAAGAAACTATGGGGGCTTGCAAAGGGCACGCGTAGGCACGATACAAGCCAGTGATTCTACTCTGTGGGCACCTAATGCAGACTATCTTGTTCCATCTCTCCTGAATAACACTCACACGTGAACAAGTAGTTAGAGAGCTGTGATCACTGTGTGCCTGTCACGTCATCACGTAGACTAGTTGAGCCTTTTGTTTTCAGCACATGTAAGTGTGGTGTTGTTATCGTCGTTGTCGTTGCCTGTCGGCAGACGCGTAGTTCGTCCCAGATGTCACTGTTGTCGTATTCTCGTTGTAATGTCAGCTCTGAGGCTGCGAGGGAAGGCTGCGAGCGAGCGCACCCTGAAAGTAAACACCGCCCCGTTCCATTACTCTGCCTGATCCAGCTGTGCGTCTGTCCGTGTCTGTGTGGTTGACGTGGTGTCTTCCTTTCCTAGCCCTTCCCTTCCTGTTTCTCCTTTCACATCTCTTGCTTCTCTCCCTTCTCCTCCTCCTGCACCTACTGCTGATGCACCTTCACATGATCAGTCATCGATCCATGCTGCGGCCGTCATCCCTGGTGTGATTGTTATGTTGAAAAGATGATAAGAGCTCACGGTTTCCGAACGCATATTTTCGCATTTGTACGTACATACACACATTGTGTGTGTGGGCGTGTATGTGTGTGTATGCGTACACGTGCGTGTGTGTGGGCGTGTATGTGTGTGTATGCGTGTGCGTGTGTGTGCACTTGCTTGCGTGCCTGTGTGTACATGTACGCACACACACATGGGGAAACGATATCTGAGTTTCGACGCCTCCATGCCGTCTCGCAAAACTGCTTCGTACCCAAGTCGCTTGAAGATCGGTCGAGCATTTGCTTGTCAGCCGCACGAGACAGATAGAATGATCTGGACCACGGGGGGGTAGGGGGGGTGCACGTCGTTACCCTTTTTTATCATAATTATTTGGCGTGATTATTTAGAGCGAAACTCGCGGCAAGTGCGTGCCGTATGCCAGCGCTGTCACGGTCGGTCGCACGTGACTTGTCTGGCGTCGGCAACACGCCGGGGTGGTTGTCGGCAGCGCCATCTGGTGATCGGCATTTCGCTTCTCACCTCTTTCTTCTTCACCTTTCTTCTTCTGCGGGGTCCTCATGTAGACGTAGTGGTAGTTGAGCGCCGTGCACGGGGCATCGTAAGTTATCGGATTTTTTTGCCGATAACGATTCGTCGACGTCGGCGCATGATGTTACTGTGGCCGCGTCTGCAGGTGTGTTAGGCTTGCACGTGGAACTGTTGGCGAGTGTGCATTACACTTACTTACAGCTTAGTGAGAACTAGTTTCTGTGTGCAACTACACTACGTACAGCTTAGTAAGAACTAGTTTGTTCTGTGTGCAACTGGCACTTGTTCGAGTTGCTTGTGGGAGGCAGGGTAGTACAAAGTGTGGGAGGGTGGGTGCAGGGCAGTTGTTTTGTCGTATCCCTTCAGTGTTCTGTTGTAATCAACAGTAGTGATGTGTTCCTTTGGTCTACTCAGCTGCCCCCTAAATGGTTTGTAAATCTTCGATCCTCCGTCTTCCTTTGTTCTTGCATGCACTCTCTCTCTCTCTTAGTCTCTGTGTTAGTGTCTCACTCTTTCGTCTTTTGCGTTCGCTCTCTTTCTCTCTCTCGCGCTCTCTCTCTCTCTCCTCCCTCCCTCTTTATCTCCCTCCCACCCCCTTCCTTCCTCTCTCTTTCTCTCAATTCTTACTCTCTTTTTCTCTATCATTTTCTCCCGCCAAACCTTACTTTTATCCCTTACTTCCCTGCTTCCCATGCGCCTCCCACCCACCCACCCAAGCCGTTCTCTGCTCTGTCATTTTTGTTGGATACCTGGTCGACATCGTCGTCGTTTTTGCACATGCAGGTACCGCCTGATGGAGGTGAAGTACCACCGGCCGGAGGAGACGCACAAAGGGCGCGTTGTGCCCGCACGTGTTGAAACAGTCGTCATTTTCTTGCCAGATGTTTGGAGTTGTATGCCGTCGCGCCTCGAGTGGATCAACACGTGCTCCGCCTACAAGCGGCGCCAGAGCGGCGGCGGCGGCGACGACGACGACAAGGATGTCACTGCTTCACAGGCACTACCACTTTACCACTTGTCCGCCCATCTCCGGTGACCGCCCCCTCCCCCCGCGACCCCCCAGAGACCCCTGCTCCCCCCACCGTGACACCGCCGTCGGGCAGACGGGGTTACGCGCGCACGGGAGACGCCAATGGACGACACAGCGCCGATTGTTTTGCACGCACGTTCTAGATTGGGCACATTCCCCCGGAGCTTCGGGGTGCGCCCCCTAGCGAGCAATAGCAGCAGAGGGAGAGGGCGCCGCTGATGCGTAAGCTCCGCGGAGATGCGTCCGTGTTTGGTTCTGTGTCCCGTCACCCACGTGACCTCTCACCGCCACCCCGCCCGCCGTCTCGTCGGACTCGTGAGCCCGTGGAATAGTTAGTTGGACGAGAATCAAAAAACCGCATCGTGATTCCGTTCGTTTTTTGTTTCAGAAAGTACAGGTAACCCTACGCGGGTAGAGGCTTGGGAGGGGAGGTCCCCCCCCCCTCCCCCCAAGGCGCGACCAATCCACAACATCTCCTCTCCCCCTCTCCCCATCTCTCGCCCTGTTCCCTCGATGCGTTGGTGCGGGAGGGTCGTCGCGGTTTCCCCACATCGACGTTGGGTATAAATACGGGATACATTAGGGCTGACCACTATCACTTCTCCTTTTCCCACGATATAATCTAGATGGTAAATCGGTGGGGTGAGGGGCAGAAGAGGTTACCTTGGTGGTGACGAGGGAGGTGATTGGTTTATGGTAGTGCCGCGTGGGACGGCCCGGGGGCGGGGCGAGACAACACTTTCTTGTTTTCAGATTCGACCGGCTCTTGCACTCGCGTAAGTTGCCGAGAGAAGGTTTTCCCTCGAAGAAAAACCTTTCCACTTGTTGGTCTGGTGCCGAAAAAAGCCTGTGTCGGTCTGGCGAGAGACAAAAAACTCCCCGGAGAGATAGAACGAGAAAGACGCGCGCACCTTGTAATCCGAATAGCGGAGACCGTACGTCAGAGTAGATCCGTTACCGTGGCAACTGTTGCGCGATTATCGTCGCTAACGTGTGACGTTTCCTCCCCTTCTCTCCGCTCTCCCCCCCCCGCGCACGTTAGAGGTGCTGCATAGAGAGCTTCACACGCCACTGGGTGTTTGCGCGTCTGGCGCCACGTGAGACTCGCTCATAGCCGTTGTTATGACAATTTCAGGGGGAGGTGCAGTGCGTCGATCCAGCACACTGGTCAGATGTCGATCCCAAGCTTCTGAAGGTACGTGCTTTTACCTCGCAGCCAGCGCGTGCTGGGGGGGGGGGCGTACGCACGTCCAGGGCAATCCAAGTCGAGGTTTCCTTCGCGGTGCAAGGGGCCATTTTTCACTCGATATTAACAGAAGGTTTATATTATTATATATATATATATGTTACAGTGGGTTGTGTTGCCGGTCGGGCCATCGGAGGGCGATCAATACGTGGCTTGTGGTGGTGGTTGAGGCCGCTAGGTGGCGACACCATTGTGGTGTGTGGTGGGAGTAACTACTAGGAGGCCAATTACTGATCTATGTGTAATAACAGGATAGCGCATAGTCGGTATTGTGTGGTGTCACTTGGCTGACATATTAGTCTTTACTAAGTCAAATTGCCAGCAACAGTTGGCACTGAAGAAGTTTGACATTGTTTGTTATATTTAAACACTTAAATCCACTTCTGGGTCGACCAATATGGTGGCAAAGTGACCTCATCTGTTTGCATTGCAGTGGTCAATTCGCTATCCAGTTATTGTAGATCACCGATTCAGTTATTACGTGTAGATGTGAGACATGTAGTTACTGAGACTGGACCCATTTCCGCGTGGTTGCAGGTTTCTGAGCTTCGCAGAGAGCTGGACCTGCGCAACCTCAGCAGCAAGGGCTTGAAGTCGCAGCTCGTTGCCCGTCTAACGAAGGCCGCGCGTGCCGAGCAGGAGGAGGAGGAGAGCGACGCGAAGGCAAACGGGGAGAAGGTCGAGGAAGAGGAGGAGAAGATGGAGGAGGAGGCCAAAGAGGAGGTGCGGTCTCGCGACTCGTGAGAAATGTTATCTTCGGTTAATGTGGATTTTTTATTTATCCACGCTCCGATTTTTTCGTTATGCCCAGCTATATGGAGATGTGTATGTACCCCTCACAGACTGTTGCCATACAGAGACTTGCATCTCTGCAGAGTATTATCATACCCTTGCTGCAGTACCAGACTATGTAAAGAGACATTTATCCCGGCAGAGTGTTATAATACCATGCTGAGGGGTAGCCGACTCTATGTGCAGGACTTTGTGTTCACGTAGAGTTATTGAACTCTACGACTGACAGTTTTTCTCCCATAGAAGGAGGAGAAGAAGAAGGTGGACTATCATGTCTCTAGTGTATCTGTGTTTTTCTCCTGTAGAAGGAGGAGGAGAAGAAGGTGGACTATTATCTCTCTAACGTATCTTGTGTTTTTCTCGCGTAGAAGGAGGAGGAGGAGAAGAAGGTGGAGGTTGAGTTGCCAGAGAACCCGGTCATCATGGTGCATCCGTCGCGCACGGCCAAGGGAGGCAAGTTTGACTGTACGGTGATGTCTCTCAGTGTTCTGCTGGATTACCGCCAGGAGGACAACAAAGAACACTCGTTCGAGGTAAACGCGTTCTCACGGCGACACGGTCGACGATTTCGTACCGGATTTCCCCCTATCCCAAAAAATCCTCCCCGTCTAACTCTTAAATTAAAAGTATTATTAAGTGAATTAAAATTAATGAGTAATTTACAGAGGCAGTTACGGTGGTTGGGTGGGGAGGGGGTGGAAGATAGGTGGTTATTGCTGGATTAGAAATCTGTGTAATTTTATTCTTTACATGTCTGGGGAAATCAACCCATAAATTCAGATACCCCCACGAGGTCGAGCTGGTTGTGCCGATCTTGTGTTGCATGTGGGTGCGTGTATACAAGGTTGGCAACAAGGCATTATCTACTTCAGTCATTGCACAATTCATGAGCAAGACAACGTGACAATTTCATAGTCGGTGCTAGTTTTAAATACTGCCTAAGATTCGTCGTCTCAGTTTTATTTTTCGTGTGCGCCTACAGGTGTCACTGTTTGCTGAAATGTTCAATGAGATGCTTGTTCGAGATTTCGGCTTCAAGATTTATAAGTTGCTGATGGGCCTACCGGAGAAGGAAGAAGAGGATAGAGACAAGAGGAAAAAAGACAAGAAGGACGATAAGAAAGATGACGACGAAAAGAAAGACAAGGTTTGGCATGTTTCATCTTATTGTGAACAGTCTGGATGGGTTTGTTGGAGAATAGAGGTGTAGTTTTTTTCATAGTGGTTTTATTTTCAAACTTTCAGTGTGTATACAAAGGAAAGATTTTATCAAATAGATAAAACTGGATTTCATATTTACTGTTGGGTAACAATGCATGTAAACAATGTCACAGAGTCGACTGTAACATGTATTCTAATTCCAATCTATTTTTGGATTGTCACTTTTTCGATTTTGTATTAACCTCTAAGCTTAATGATGGAATATGTCGAGACAGTTAACATGTTTACGTGTTTAAGTATTTTTTTCATTCCGAAATGCGCACGTCTTGCAGGAGGAAAAACGAAAAGATGATAAGGATAAAGACGATAAGGAGGAGGATAAGGATAAAGACGATGATAAAGACGATGATGACGATGTTAGTGACATTTCTTACATCTAGCTTCTCACTTTAATTCACACATCTGGTTTGACTTCCAAGCACAGGCCAAAGTTTTATTTTGGTTATAGTACCAGAGCTTACCAGGCAGCTCTTCCCTTGCTTGGTTGTGGAACAAAATTAAAGGATAGCCCCAAAAATATGTAATACTTAATAGACGTAAAGGGTAATTCAACTTGTGGTTTGTTTCAAGTATTTGTAAATAAAACTATTCATCATAGCCCTCACCACTGTACTGTATCGCTAGAGCATTTATGACTCTTGTGACCTCGAGGAAATAGATTTATCACAGTGCTTTTCGAATAAAAACTGTGAAGAGACATTTTCAGTTCGTAGTTATCGTCTGTGTTTGCTTATTTTCGTTTTGTTTTATTCTTCAGGAGGAAGAGGACGAAAACAGAGGTGAGTGATCTGCGGAAAAAAAATAAGTAAATAGTTGCACTTACCTTCCCATGGATGGCAACATGGTCTGCCTCCAGACACGGAAGATTGTGGGGATTCGGGAATAATTTGGATGGATTTTGCTTGCAATATGAATTCTTGAATACCTTGAAGTTTTGATGTGATTGCATGTTAAGGAAACTCTTTTCCCCCACTTTTTCACTAATGTTAATAAATTATTAAAATAAAT